ACACACACACACACACACACACACACACACACACACACACACACACACACACACACACACACACACACACACACACACACACACACACACACTATATATATATATATATATATATATATGTGCGGAATTCGCAGACACTGGCATGTCCGGACGAGATGTACGATCATGTACCTGAGGCTGACAACTCGCAAACTTACTCATTTCAGTTGGCACGGTAGAAATACTGCGTCACAACTCACATCGCAATGCGGTCGCAGATCCATCCACGCTCGGAGAAGACGATACCAATGCATCATCTGCTAGATGTGTAACGTCATCTTCGACAGCTCTTCAGGTGGCGTGCGTTGTCATGGTGATGGTTATCAATATATTGTTTCCTGTAGCGTTTCCCTCGAGTTCGCATGTACTTACGATTTCATAGGTGTAGTTGATGTAAGATAGCCAAGGTTTTGCGTATCAATATTATAGTGGTCGGTTCGACGAATGCGCGCTGATAGACACAATGCTGTAACATAGGGTGTCGGGATATTTCTTTCGTTTATTCATCTTTGGTTACAGCTCTTTGATTCACAATATTCGTTCACAATAGTCGTTCACAGTTACGAACTCCGTTCACCCTTGAAAACAGATTTAATAGACCACAGCGCGTCTCCTCGGCTATATTAAATCGTCGTCCTAAGCTATAACAAGTAAACTCTGGTGTAACTACATGTCTAGACATGACACGTAGCTGCCTATACGTAGCTGCACTCACGTCAAAGCACGGAGGCCAAAAAGAAGCCAGTGACCAACCCGTGGCGAGCAGCCTACTCTCGTGTTGTCACTCTACCGGACAACGCCAGCTATCGGCCGACATTATCAAAACAATTTTAAACATTATCAAAAAACAAACAAACGTTTGGCCGTTACAAATATCGTTTATAAACCTAATTAAATATAAGTGTGCCAACCCGTATCTTATTAAAGCGAGTTTTCACATGCAGCCATGTGATGTTGCACAATCATGTGTCACATTAAGTCCTGTACGACGTATATAAAGAGTGATTTCTTGCATGCGACATGGTTAAAGTGAGGAAACGTTTTTTTGCGAAATGATTTATTAATTATCGATTATCATGTGTCTGTATCGAGTCCGATGTTCATAGATTTACATCCGGAGCACCCCGTGATATCACCACACAAATCACGTATTATTGCTGGGATATTTCTCGTCAGCGTTTAGCAGTTGCGTTGATAACTACTATTTTAAAGTCTAATTTATTTTAAACTCGATACAGGCTTCGTTTCATATCATAAGTTTGTGTGTATATGATTGTGTATTGAATGACAGTAAGTAAGTGTGTGTGCGCGGGGAAGTGATCTTTGTCATGTGAATTATGACTTATACGTTTTTATATTATTAAAAAAAGTTATAGCTGGTGGTGAGAGGAAGAATTATTATCCCGATCATATGCCCCTCTTAAAATATTATTTTACGCTGCCTGCATAGAGATACAATAGACAAATAATTTGTAAAAAACAAGTATATTTATTCTATAGTCCTAACTATGTATATCAACAATAAGTAAAGGCTCGATTGGTTTTGGTTGAAACTTCGTCTATACATTTCACTCTTTTACCAATCATTTACAATTGCGGTATCTGTGCATGTATAGTAAGTATTAAGGTAACATCTATTAATAGAAAAAGTTTGTCTTACTTATGTACGATATTACAAAGAGTTAATAATTATGAAAGAGCATTGTTAGTCCTTGATTTTATATGCCCAATATTCAATCAACAAAGCTGTACAGTAGGTAGTATGCCATGTAATGTATACATGGGGTCATACTTCAATGGGGCATGCATGCCGGTTTAATACATTTACCGATGCGATATGACGCATTAGTCGATGATGAACCATCACATAATCAAAACAAAAAACCAACTAAACCTTAAACCTGTAACAACCGTAGAATATAACGACCGAGAGTCGTTGAGAATTAAGGTATTGAGAGACCTCGAGTACTCAGCCGCGTGGACGGTTGGAATCACTGCACCACAACTTAGCTATACGTCGAGATAAGACAGAGACAAGTCGAAGGGCAATATACTCCTTGGGTGCGGTTGCTACGAGACACCAGCAGCGCAGCCGACGGAGATATATCACGTGATTATACAGTCGTCATCTAAGCAGCTATAAATGCTGCCTGAAGTAAGCTGCCAACGCTAACTGGAACATCATTACAATTCACGACACCTCTCCTGCCACGCTATATTTCGCTGCAGGTTATCTTAAGTTAAAGACGATACGATTATAAACGCATGAACAATATTATTGGCACACGAAATGCAGTGTAGCTCGTATAGCTAGAGAACGCGTGCATGCGTTCTGCACATGATTCACTTGTATATACAGACAGACAAGCGTCGCTACCTTGATGGACCATACCTCTCATTAAGCTATCATTAATAAGCTTCATAATTAATATATATATATATATATATCTGCTAATTACGCGCAGAATATGGGCAACATTTTAAATCGAAAAAAATCAGTATATCACGCACACATGATCTACATGTTACACACGGCTGTACAATTCAGGGGAAGTTGAGAGAAGAATGAGAGTAGATTAATGTGTCAATCACAAATACACGTCAGCACATGTTATACAGAAACTAGATATAGCCAAATACTAATCTATAGGGAGATATAGTTATATAGGTACATATAACTGTAAAGATACATCCAGGAGTAGCGTAATTAACAAAGTAATTATTAATAATTATTATTTCTTTATCAAGAATTACTTAATTATTAATAAATAAATTGATTAATTGATGTAATTTTTTAAATTTATTTGTAATAAATAAAAACATTACTTCATTAATTAAGTAATTAATTAATTAAATATTAACTACGTAGTTATTATGCTACTCCTGATACCTCGTATGTACGTATGTACGTATATATATATATATAGATAGTTAGAACTGCGGGCCATCCTTGTATGTCTCTGTGTCGGCGGCTGGCGTGCGAGCTCTCTGCTTGAGAAGTTTGGCGACGTTTGGCACAAACATACAGCCGACAATGAAGGCAGCTATCAGTGTCACGACCACCTGTATGGCGACGTCCTCCGCCGTGGGCACCGCCAGGTAGACGGGCACCCAGACGACGTCGACGACGGCCACGCATGCGCAGACGATCATTATTCGAAAGCCCTCGCCGTAGTGAAACGTAAAGTGGCGCAACCTGACGGTCGCCGCAAGAGTTACGGCGTGTAACGCGAATCCGTACCACATGAACCCGACCAGCGATCGTCTCGTGTGTGCGCAGCGCCACCTACCGTCGACGCTGGTCGCGCGCGGCGGGTCCAGCGCCAGCCAGGCGACGACAGAGATGAGTTCCCCCGCTACGAGCGCTGCCGTCGCTAGCAGCTGGCTGCGGGCGCCCGTGAATGACACACCACTGCCGGACACAATGCCGTAACGAGCGAGTCTGTTGATACGCAGCGTCTTCACGAGCAGTACTGCGAAGACAGCCGTGTAGGAGAAGCTGAACAGGAAACGACGGAATCCGCAGCTAGCCGACGTCGGCGAGTAGAAGAACGGTACTGCGGCTGCGCACAGAGCGATGACGGAGAGCAGCAGCAACGTCGCCAGCGTCAGCGACGTGTCGCGCACGAGCGGCAGGTGGCCGTAGATGAAGTGCAACAGCAGCAGCGCGAGGCTGACGCCGGCGAGAACGATGACGATGAGCATGAACACTGTCGCCCATGCGCGGCTGAAGCCCCAGAAGGTGGCGGGAGTGGCGGCATCTTTCGGTACGGGACCACGTGACATGCTGCCGCCGCAGCTCTGGTGAAGCAGCGGCCATGTTTCCACGTCGGTGATGTTCAGCTGTCGACAAAATAAAAATAAAAAATTACATTTTATTGAAGCCTAGCCTTAGCATTTTATTAAGTTTATTGTAGTAAAGATCAATGAACATCCTTAATTAATCTACATATGGAGTAAAATTCTACAACAAGCATTCCAGCTTACTTACTTATAGCACAGAGCGATAAATTCTGTTATATCTGCATATTTGTTTCTCTCTCACGCTCTCTTTCCTCTCCTTCTCTCTCTATATATAAATATATACATATATATATATATGCATACATGTATATATATATATATATATATATATATATATGTATATATATATATGTATATATATATATATATATACACACATATTCCATTACATTACATTATTACCTCTACGACATCTCCACTCGGGTCTCGTGTGAACACGCCGTAAGAATTCTTAAACCCATCTCTGTACATGTCCGCCAGTCCGCGCACGGGAAACGACGCGGCGGCAGTCTTCAGAAACGTAGACGCGTCCACACCGTCGCACGCCGTCGTGCTATTACACAGCCTCAGCATTGTCGCCAGGGCGCGCACCGCCACCATCGTCCACGTGCCGCGTGCATTCTGGGAATTCACAAGCGACATCGTCAGTCTCTCGTCGCCCGTGCACGTCTGCGCATGCGCGTCGTCGTCGCGCAAGCTGCAGCGGAAATAGTCCTGCCACATTTCCGCGATCCAGGGGTCGCTACGATCGCTGTAGCTCAGCGTCGACACGAAGCTGTCGCTGGCCGCTTGCAGCGCCCTCGCGCCGACCGCAATCACGCTCTGATTGGGCGGCAATCTCTCGCCTCGTAACGTCGCCGCGGCGCTGGCGACGCTGTCGCCGACGAAGATCCACAGCGGTCGACATTTCCTCGCCGACGCATGCGCGTCGGCCGCCTGCAGCACGGACGACATCGTTTCCGCTTCCGCTAGAACAAAGACGCCGCTGGTGCCACCGTCGATCATGAGTTGATCCACGGCGCTGTCGTACTGATTGAAGGTGATTTCCACGTGAACTGACACTCCGATATTATGTCGCTCTAATAACACCCTCGCTAGAGTCTCTAGCTGGTCGGAGCGGTCGGGTGTATAAAGCGCGGCGACGTATATCCATTTGAATCGAGAGGCGAGAGCTGCAGTGAACGACAGCAGTGAACTGACGGTCGGCACGAGACGTACGACAGCGCCACCTGCCGGATCCCTGAGGTCGTCGCCGTCGATTGTTACCTGTAGATATGTGACAATTATTATAGATATGTGACAATTGTTTCCTGTAGATATGTGACAATTGTTACCTGTAGATATGTGACAATTGTTACCTGTAGATATGTGACAATTGTTACCTGTAGATATGTGACAATTGTTACCTGTAGATATGTGACAATTGTTACCTGTAGATATGTGACAATTGTTACCTGTACACGTGTGACTGTTGTTACCGATAAAGGTGTGACAATTGTTACATGTACACGTGTGACAATTGTTACCGGTAGTGGTGTGACCATTTTTATCTGTACACGTGTGACAATACCTGTAGATTCAATAGATAGTTATGCATGTTTTCGTCGTTGGCTGTATAAACATTATCAGTGTTAGCTGTATACGTAGATCTACAACAAGTTATCATTTCCGCCAACAAATTATAAAGTGTGGTATTAGATTACTAATAATAATCAGTATTGTTACAATTATTAAACTAAGTGCGCATACCCTAGTTCCTAATACCTAAGTTCACGTCACCCTATTTCCCTTACCAGTGGAACTTTGAGATTTTCAGCTTTGCTAAATTTTTCGGTTGGCACCTTGTCAAGGAAGATCGCATAGCTGTCGCTAGAATGCGCGATTGCTTCACTATACCTGAATATAAAACACTCACTTATAGAATATATCATCGCATAAAACATCGATACCCGCGGCTACAAAGCAGTGACCCGAACACCTAGTATAGGATACCTATAAATATAGGAGAAATCGATTGCTAAATAGTTGAGGATTTACACATAAGGTTAAATGCAGTTTATCTACTAGACCAAGAGAATCCTCTAGATTTCAAAAGTCCTTCAAGATATGATTATATTATGTATATATATATATATAATATATATATATATATATATATATATATATATATAATATGATAATGAATAAAATCCTTTTAAGATATTTTCTTTGATTCTCACACTTACGTTGTCCTAACATACGCGATCAGCAAATAAATTTTCAGTGGCCACAGCGTTGAAATGGTAAAAAAATGAAAGTGATTTCTGATAGCTCCATTAAAGCAACAACGCACACACCCGAAGCAAAAACGCGAAATTTGTATTTCGCAGCGTTTTCGCAGTTCCTGCTCGCGAGCAAGCGCAGCACCAACGCCACCCGACACAGCACAACAGCTGAAGCAAAACATGACAGAAACATCGCAACAAGCCGTTGCACATGACATCCAAAATAGCCATCCAATTGGACATCCAATTTGTGATGTCATGTGATGATTTTTAATGGATATTGATTGGAGAACCCGTCCTGTGGCGTTTCCGCTGTGTAGTCAGAACAATTGAACGCACACATCGCCCCCGAGCAAACGTACGCTCAGGCAGAAAAACACGCTATCCGCGAATCAACCATTGCTGCTGCAGCGAGAACACGCTCAGCTCGCATGTTTTTATGTTTCGTGGAATCCAGCACACAGCTCACGAAACATCGAGCGAAAACATGTTTTGACTCCAACGTTCAGGGTGTTTTGTCCGTTTTGCGTTGTGGCTCCACAATCAAAGCATTGCTCGCAAAGACAACGATAAATTACAAACCCGTCATATGTTCTTCACCATGACTAACTCAACGACATGGGATAACA